CTGTCCTCTTCAGCCTCATGGGGTTACAGGTATTGGCCAACACATCCAGCTTTTTAAACGTTTTAATTAGAAATAATCAGATCTTTTAAGGAAAGCTTCGTATCTGGGCAGCCAGTTTCCTATGGCAGGATCAGCTGTTGCCAGTCTTAGATTACATGTGCATATCAGACTACAGGACCCTCCAGCCTGATGTGCAAGCTCAGGCCCTTGTGGTGTGAGTCGTTTTGTTTTCTGATAGAAAATTTTGTGCTTACTAATTAAAATGATAAGCACATAGATAGGAACAGAAAGAATAGTTATGAAAACAGCTTTCTTTTTCAAACCCACCATCTAGTGAGAAGTGCCTGTCTTGGTTACAAATCTCACAGAACACAGTTAAGGGCAAGCCGTTCTGGTTGGGTCTATGAAAAATGGCCTCATCAAAAGCTAACACACAACAGTATCTTACAGGTCACTCACAGTGTGGAATCTTAAACTGCACCAACAAACATTTGGCTTGTAACATGAAACTTCAAGGTTTACAGTGCCCTTTGAAAAGACATTTGTAACATTACCAGTGTGTGTGTGTGTGTGTGTGTGTGTGTGTTAGTAGTTCACCTAGCTATGTAGACCTTTCAGTGCTGGTATAGTTTATTATTCAGTACTAAAATCATGTCAATATTACCACTAAATCTCAAAACGGACCCCCCCCCCCCCATCTTCCTGGGGCTCTTACTCTATTGGAGAAAGTGAGAGAGAGATTGGTAAGATAACAGGGGACAGCTATCAGAACCATGGGAAGAGCAGAGGATGGGCCTGGAAGTGAGTGGCGCTGCAGCCTTCAACTGGCCTAGCAGGGAACCCGAGTGCTGCCCAGCAGTGTCTTCTGGACACCACAGCCACTGCACCGTGGCACTCACTACAGCTGTGGTTACCTGCACAAGACAATCACGGGGAAGCCTGGAGCTCGCAGGAGGGATACTTATTTTCCAAAATTCTAATTTTAGCTTCTTGAGTCTTACTATTCGTTAGTAAGGAACTCTTCATTCTGTTTTACTTGTCACAGCTTGTGAGTCATTCTCTCAAGTAAAAATGATGATGTATTCCAAAGATAGATGGGTTCACAATGCCACGGTACAGGTGGTTTCCCTGGAGACGAATACTGTACTGTGGCATGTGGCAAAGGCACTGTGTTAGCACCATGCCCAGTGTGTGTGTGTGTGTGTGTGTGTGTGTGTGTGTGTGTGTGTGTGTGTGTGTATGTTTTTTCGACAAGGTCTCAACTGGGCAGTGCTGGTTAGGCTGGAACTCTGTAGCAGGCTGGCCTTGAACTCACAGAGATCCACCAGCCTCTGGATCCTAAGCCCTAGGATTATAGGCATGTGCCACCACACCCAGCTCAGAATATATACGGAGACCAGGTAGTAATCGTCCTCCGATCTCCACGTGTGCTGTGTGTGTGTGGCATGCATCTCCCCACCCCATCACACAAAAGTGATAAAAAAGATGTCAATACTTCATACATAATTAAAGAGATCACAAAATATAAACAGCCTTTCTCTGGGGGCCTGTGACTTCCCCACGGTTGCCCTGTGCATTAGTGCAGCTGTGAACAGGAGAAATCCTCTCACTGTCAGCAATAGCTCTGTTCTTCTGCATGGCCTGCAAGGTTTAGGGGTCTCATCAGGAGTGTGTTTAGTAAATTTTGAGAATCAGTGATCTTTCTAGGTAAGTTCTTGGACCTCCACATTCCAGCTGATGGGTGACTGGTGTGTTTGGATTCACTACTACTATCAACACTAGGCAACACGATTTCAAATGCTACCATTTTGGAATTCTACCCTCATGAACTCTCGGCTTCAGTGATCATGTGCACAGCCCAGACCCATCAACAGACACCGTCGGGCCTCTCCACCCACAGGACATACAGGTAGTTATTGGTGGCAGAGGGAAGAGATTTTGTTAGGAGTTGTAGCCACTTCTAAGTTGCCCATGCTCCTGCAGGTAACCCGAATGAAACTCATCGTTTCACCAGTCTTGATTCAGTGGTGGACTTGCTTTTTGGTCTGTTGTTGGAGCCTGAGCTGGAGTGATTAATGCTTCTCTTTTGCCCCTGGAAAAGTCCACACAACAGCTACTCAGTTTATTTTGAGAATTTTAAAAATTGATCAAATTTCTATCACTCCACAGAAAGTGAGGCTATGAAGAATCAAGCATGATGCAAACACTTGAACAAGTAATTGTTTTCTTTTTTAATGTTCTGGCATAGGTAGCCTTTTAAAAATTTGGGCTAGGGGCTGGAGAGATGGGCCAGCAGTTAAGAGCACTGAGCCAGGGGACTCAGGTTCCATTCTAGCAAAAACATGGTGGCTCACAAACATCTATAACTCCATTTCCAAGGGATCTGGTGCCCTCCTTCTAGCACCCCAGGTACCACGTATTCACATGGTACACAGAAATACATACAGAAAAATACCCATACACATACAATGAATAAATAAAAATCTTGAATGAAGAAATAAATGAATTAGGCTCACACAAAATTACCTTTTGGTTCAACATCCCCACGGCAAGGTTCACGTTGTCATGGAGACCTGGTTTTTACTGACTGCATATTCCATGCAGAGAACACACTGGGACTTAGTTAGTTGCCTTCCTCTCTTCACTGTTAACTCTCAGTAATCACATGAATTCAGTGACAAAGTTTTTATGTATTATTCAGCTACAATCTGGACCTAGAGGAATATGAATTACTTTCTATCAGCCAAGATGCACAGACAATATATGAAAAATGTATTAGGAAGGTCAAGTGAGTTGTAAAGATATTTTGAAACTGCTTATTTATCATTCTGCTTGGAAAGTTTCACTTTAGGAAGGAGACACTTGAAATCATGACAAGGTTAAAAACCAGATGAGACTTCAAGGCAACAATGCCCTGCTGGCAGGTGGGCAAGGGCGCACTAAATATCCTGCCTCAGGGTCGGAGGTGTCAGGAAACAGCCTAGCAGGATGGGCAACACTGCTGACATGACATAAGTTCCCTGAGCCCCTCTTAGAGATCTGGAGGTCAGCCAGACTCCTGAAAGCTCCTTAAGACTCTGAAGCCATTCATTTGCTGAGTCACTTCAGAGTTTATGGTAGCGCTGTGATAACCGCAACTTTTAATACTTCTGGTGACACATTTCTGTTTGGTTTGTTGAGATGGTCTGGCTATGTGTAGTAACTTTTCTCATTCTTCTGATCAAAATCGGAGGAGTTACATTTTGCTGCTGGTGTTTTTCTCTTTTGAGACAGGGTCTCTTGGCAGCCCTGGCTGGCCTGGAACTTACTATGGAGACCAAGCTGGTTTGGAATTCACAGAGATCTGCCTGCCTCTGCTCCCACCTGAGTGCTGAAATTAAAGGCGTGTGCCACCACGCTTGGCCTGGAAATTGTTTTTTTGGTTCACTGTTTCAAAGGATCGGCATGTACTCACCTGGCCCTGTGTGCTTGTAGGGAGTCTATGCAAGGACCTGACCCCAAGGAAGGAGGCTGGATAAGCTCTCTACAAGGATCTGGCCTCAGAGACCTACTTCCAGGTTCTGTCACCTCAAGTTTCCACAACTTTGAAAAGTAGCACTACCAGCTGGGACCAGAGACCAACAACAGCCTTGGGAAGCACATCAAACCATACTGTCACGTAGTCCAGGCTGGCCTTAAACTTGCAATCCTCCTGCCTTAGTTTCTGAGTACGAGGATTACCAGTGAGTACTGTGCTTGGCTCTTGCCTACCCAGTCTGCTGGAGCGTTCTAACTGAAGGGATAATGAGCTACAAAGTTGCAGTTTCCTAAATTTCTTTAAACTGAGCAGTAACTGTAACTGTTTAGACATGGTTAACATAGACAAATGTAAAAATTACCTTCTACTCAACCCTCCATCCGCACAGATGGACCTCCAATTGCTTCACTCGCTCCATGTTTTTGATTTTCAAAAGCAAAGTCCTTGTAACCCCTGTCCTGCTGTGCCTGCCTTCTCTGCCGTGACCAGTCATGAGTCCTAGGAGGGAGCTGTTTACTTACGGCTGTCACTAAAAATACATTTATTACTTTCCTAAGTAGTTTTTCTGCACAGATTATAAACCTTACCTCAAATTACTTCACCCAGATTTTACCTCAGTCTCAGCTGAGGAAACATGGTCTCTAAACACTATCGTTGAGCTACCCTGTTATTCTCACGAAAGTGGAAAGCCCACAACCAACTATGGAGTATGAGAAGAGCTGGGGAGCCTACTGTAGTTGGGAGCAGGGAAGTACCATTAGCTGTGGGAGCCACATCTGACATGGCGGTGCAAGAACAACTGTAGGAAATTCAAATAAAGAAGGTGGCAGTCCTCAGAGCACTAACCAAAATGGTGGCACTTAGTGTGCACTAGGCAATCCTTGACCTTACCTCTCATCACAAACTGGTCTCCCTATGAGAAGAAAGCAGGTCCAGATGAAATCTGTGGCTCTGTGAGCTACAGTTTCCGTCTTTACAAATGACCTCCTGGTCTCCATGATAGTGTGGGATGGCTCACATGCCTTGCTATTTCTCTGGCTAAAAGCTCTAAGCACTAGTTTACCACTACTTCCAGCAGAAAGAGGCGGTACGAAGCCCTGAAACCGATCTTACATACATAACTTCACACGAGATCCCGGTTCTTCCACCCTAAGGGGCAGGTACAAGTGGGGCACATCGGTTAATTCCAAGAAGGTGGTAAGAAAAGAAACATGCTGGGCAGTGGTGGCGCACGCCTTTAATCCCAGCACTCGGGAGGCAGAGGTAGGCGGATCTCTGAGTTCGAGGCCAGCCTGGTCTACAGAGCGAGATCCAGGACAGGCTCCAAAGCTACACAGAGAAACCCTGTCTCGAACCACCACCACCACCACCACCACCACCACCACCACCACCACCACCACCCTCGCAAAAAAAAAAAAAAAAAAAAAAAAGAAAAAGAAAAAGAAAGAGAAAAAGAAAAGAAACAGATTACTTAGGAGGTGAATGTAAGAGGTTCAAACTCCAATATCATCCTTGGCTACAAACCAAGTTGAAAGTCAGCTTGGGATACATGAGATTCAAACAAAAAACAAAACAAAAAACCAGACAACCTTCCCCTAAGGAACACTCCCCAATACACCCCAAAAGCCAAGGACATAACTGAGCACAAAGCTCCCAGAAACCAGCTATGTGGAAACTGTAGAAAAGTGGCTGCCCAACCCCAGACACCCAGTGGTTGCAGAGACAAGACTCCAGTTCCAAAACAAGCTTGTCTAAGGAAAACAGCGAACTCCCCTGTTCTGTCCCTAATCAAATCTCTTCCCTTCCCTGTTTTTGCCACAAAACCCCTGCCTGAAGTCATCCTCACTATGTAACCAGTCTGACCTCGAACTCACAGAGATCCACCTGCCTCTGCCTCCCAAGAGCTGGGATTAAAGGTGTGCACCACCATGCTTGGCAAGAGGGATGATTTTTTTTTATACTTTTTTTTTTAAATTTATTTATTTATTATGTATACACTGTTCCGTCTGCACATATCCCTGCAGGCCAGAAGAGGGCACCAGATCTCATTACAGATGGTTGTAAGCCACCATGTGGTTGCTGGGAATTGAACTCAGGACCTTTGGAAGAGCAAGCAGTGCTCTTAACCTCTGAGCCATCTCTCCAGCCCGGGGGATGATTTTTGAGAAATACTTTTTTAAATAGTAGAAAATATTTATTCACTGAAAGGAAAGAGAAAAAAAAAAAGGAAGAGAAGGCTGGGGCATTGCTCAGTGTTTCCCTATTATGGGTGAGGTCCGGGGTAAAATTCTAATACTGCAAAACAAAATACAACAAAAAAAAATCTGATGAGCAATCTCCTCTCCGCTGACAGTCCAGTTCTTTTCTTTTGTAATCTTCTTACCCTTCTTGAGCTGGGTAGGAGCCAGGTCATTCATTGTGGTCCTGGTGACAATACCGTCACCTCCACTTATTAAGGTCCTGACCTGAACACCTGAATTGTACTAACATAACCGGCATCTCGTGAAGGGGAGTTGGGCTAAGGACAGAGACTACGACTACACTGAGATCTGCAGCTTCATGGGAACCCACCTACTTCAGGACGAGCCTGAGTTCCTGCTGATATCTAGTTTAGACAAAGATCATGCTTGGCTGGCCTGCTGAAGTCACTATTTTCTTGAAATTGACTCCTTCCTTGACTTGTTAAATGCTTATGACCTCACAACAGGAATCAGTGTAAAGATGCTTCCAATTTTCCAATAGTTATACATTTTATTGAATATTTTTGTTCTTTCAACCCGAATAACATAATTTAATAATCTTACGAGACGTGTGACCTTGGCACACAAACCTGGTCTGAAAGGCAGCATTTTTGAGAGGCATACATCTACCTCAGCCTTAAGAGGCGTCTACGGCACCTAGGCTAAGTACTGAGGTCGGCCCCTCCAGCAGTGCTATCTATGGCTAGAGAATGCTGAGTACTGAGGTCAGCTCCTCCAGCAGTGCCATCTATGGCTAGAGAATGCTGAGTACTTAGGTCGGCCCCTCCAGCAGTGCCATCTATGGCTAGAGAATGCTGAGTACTGAGGTCGGCCCCTCCAGCAGTGCCATCTATGGCTAGAGAATGCTGAGGAGAGACAGCTGAGGGCTGCAGGTGGCCGGAGAGAACTGCCTCAACTTCTGCAAAGAGGATCTGCAGGATCTGCAGGAGCCGCTGCTCTCCAGGCCACTGGCCCCCTAGTCTTGAGATACCCTGATATTGCAGTCAAGAGTGTAACTAAAAACTGTTCCTCCAGAAAGGAAATCTACAACAAAACACTGCTCTGTGCTGCTCGTTATTAAAAACAAAATTTACAGTAAGAAACTTATATATATAAAAATCCAGGACTATTACTGTTCCAAAAGTAAGCCAATTTAAATGACTCTCAGTTTAGCAGAAGAGGGACTCCCTTCAACTAATCTTCCAAGCAAGCTTCTGCGGCTAGGATCCCCACAGCAGAGGCGGGAGGGCACCAGACTCCACTGAGCTCCCTACTCTATCTACGCTTACTACCCAGGAGCCCTAGGAGCCTGCCCCTCCCACTGACCATCCGACCCCACTTTAAAGATGTGAGTCATGTGTGCTTCAGGCTTTGGGGCAGCTGGAGACCATGACGGTCACTGGAGACCGTAAGTCTGAGTTGAGTTGTTCAAGGTCAGGGTCACAATGAGGGAACGAGGATCCTTCTTATTCTTGTGAACTGTGATCTTTCCTTTCAAGGCTTCACCTACAAAGAAAGGCAAAGCACAGAGTGAGAACAGGCTGTTGTGAACATAACATCCACAAGACATGGCTGCTGGCCTTCCGTGTCCTGCCACTGTAAATAGGAAGAACCAACAGAGGTCCAACAGTGAACACAAACCAGTTCCACCAAACGACACCTGTGACAGGGCAAAGCCAGGCTTTCCTAGAGACTCAAAGGAATGGCTGTGTGCCCTCTAGTACGAAACCTTCTCATTTAACTTTCCCCATCTCTTTGCAGAGTCACTCAAAGCAACAAAGCAAGGCTGACGGTGGTATCCTTAGCATTCCCTGCTTTAGTAAGACCACACCACAGCCCTAGGCATAGCTTCACACTGTGGATGGGCACAATATAGGGGGAAGAATGATGATAGGTGTGTGTGTGTGTGTGTGTGTGTGTGTGTGTGTGTGTGTGTGTGTTAACTGTCTGAATACTGAACATATGACATATGCCACATTTAAAAACGAAAGTCCGGCACTAATTTCTCCCATTCCAATATGGACTAAAATAGACAGCAGTTCTTGGGATATGATGGTTTCATTACTCACATACTCCACTTGTCTTTGCAATGAGGCAAGACTCACAGGTAGAGCAATGGAAGAAACAGTGTGGCCAGGGCACAATCCACTCAGCAAAATCTAAAAGTGACTTATATGTTGATGTGTAAATTATGTGTGCCTGAGCCAGGCGGTGGTGGTGGTGCACGCCTTTAATCCCAGCACTTGGGGAGGCAGAGGCAGGCGGATCTTTGTGAGTTCGAGGCCAGCCTGGTCTACAAAGCGAGTTCCAGGAAAGGCGCAAAGCTGCACAGAGAAACCCTGTCTTGAAAAACCAAAACCAAAACCAAAACAAAAAACAAAAAAAGTTCTGTGTGCCTGTGGCTCTGATAGCTAGAATATTCCTCTATGTTGTGATTATTATTTGAGACAGGATCTCACTCTATAGCCCAGGGCTGACTGGGATCTTACTATGCAGCCAAGGCTGGCCTTGCAGGTGTGAGCTAACACATCTAGTCTTTTCTCTGTCTCAGTAAGAAAATGAAATAAACTATCTCAAGTCGGCATGCTCACCAACAGCAGCATGACCACCATTCCTAGTTCCTAGTCAAATGGTCCAAGTGGGAAAAAGTTGTTGTTTGTATTCTGGTGCTAAGACTAACCCTGAGCTTTGCATGTGCTAAGTCAGTGCTTACCACTGAGCTGCCTACCCTGTCCCAAGCACCAGGATTTAATAAAAGAGGTCATTTGATTTTCAAGTCTGTGTCTTTCTGCTGTATAGCTATGCCTCCCATCTATCTGAAAACAGTTGTTACAGCCAAATAAATATGCTAACAAGGACATGAAACACCCTCAGTTTCACTACCCAGTCACATCTTCCTGTAATGGCATTAGTGTCTAAATTATGCAATTCTAATAAATTATAATATACTTATCTATTATGGCATTAACTTAAGAGAAGAAACAATGGCATTAATATTTTTACTAAATCTTAAGATAATTGCAACTTAAAATACATAATAATGTTGTTGATTTTTCTTACCAATCCCTTTAAAAATATATATTCAGTCACGCATATGCCTTTAATCCAGCACTTAGGAGGCAGAGGCAGGCAGATCTCTGTGAGTTTGAGGCCAGCCTGGTCTAAAAAGCAAATTCCAGATCAGCCAGGGCTACACAGAGAAACCCTGTCTTGAAAATCCATTATACATATATATTTCATAATGTACTTGTGTGTATGGAGACCAGAGGTCAACCTTGGTTGGGTGCCTTCCTCAATTGCTTCCCATTTAAAATTTTTTAATTTAATTTCTTATTAATTCTTAGGAGTTGCATACAGTATGTTTTGATCATACTCACCCTTATTCCACCAGCTCCTCCCAGATCCATTCTCCTTCCCTTCCCACCTAGCTTTGTGTCTTTTTTGTTGTTATTTTTAAGACTGCTCCTGGAACTCACTCTGTAGACCAGGCTGGCCTCAAACTCAATGATTCCCCTGACTCTGCCTCCCAAGTGCTGGGATTAAAGCCATGCTCCACAGTGCACAGCTTTAAAAAAAAAACAAAAAACAAAAAAAAAACCTCCACTAAGTCTAATATGTGCTGCTTTTATATTCTTAGTTGTCTGTGTGGCCTTATACGGACTTACCAGGGGCTACAAAGAAAACTGACTGCTTCTCTCCCAGAAACTATCAGTTGCCAATAGCTCCTTAGCTGGGTCTACTTTATGTTATTTTTGGTTTTCTGAGACAGGGTTTTATACTATGTATCCTTGAGTGACCTTGAAGTCATAGAGACCACCTTTTTCTGGTCCCTTTCCAAATGTTAGGATTAAAAGTATGTGCCATCACTCCTGGCCCAACTTTACTATTTCTTGGAGAGAGGAAGCCTCTCACTACACCTAGAGCTCACAACTGGGTTAGACTAACCAGTGAGCTTCAGGGATCAAGCTGTCTTGGCTTCTTCAGCACTGGGATTATGGCACATGTGGCTCTTTATATGGGTGCTGGAGATTTGAACTCTAGTCCCCATTCTTGAAGGGCAGGCACTTTACCAACTGAGTCATATCCTTTTGTAGTTTTAAACTTTTATTTTATACCGACAAACTTGGTCTGAATTTATCGTTTACTGACTGTGAAACTGGGAAGGAGATGCCACTTACTGAATTAAATGAACTTGTATTGGTATATAACAGAGAGATGGAACTTATGCCATGTATCAACATCAAGTATGATGTGTGGACCACATTCTCCCCACTGTCTGTGGACTCAGTGCATCCTCATCAGCACCCCAATGCAAGGGCTTAAGGCAGAAATTCAGATGCCTTTAAAGTTTATCTCAACGGAATCTGAAAGAGCCTAAATAGTTTGAAGAAGCAAGAGGACTCAACAGTTATAAAGATGGTGTCCTCCTGGCTTAAGGACAGACACATAGATCAAGAGAACAAAGTGTGCGCTCAGAAAGAGGCCCATATGCATATGGCCCATTAATTTTTGACAAAGGAGCCAAGGTAATTAAATGGGAAAAGGACAGTTCTGTCAAGAAATGAAGATGGAACAACTGAGAAGATGAATCACTAACTCTTAAAATGAACACGAAACAGATTATAGACCTAAATGTTGAGAGTAAGCCTGAACGTTCCAGAAGAAACACGACATCCTTGTTGGAATCAGCTGAAGTTTTAGAATCAGCACAAAAGGCACATGCTATCAATGACTGACCTAGTAAAACTCATAAAAATGTTCTATTCTTTGGAAAGACATGGCAGGAATTGGGATGAAGATATTCTCAATGCCCCTGTCTGATAAAGAACTTGTTTCCATTTATGCGAACAATTAATTCTCACAACTAAATGACAACAAATAACACACCTGAAAACTGGGCAAAAGGGCAGGATGTGGTAGCACATGACTACTGCCCAGAACTTAAGAGGCAAAGGCAGGAGTAGGAGGATAGCAAGTTCAAAGCCAGCCTGGTCAAGCCAGGCAAGGATACATAGACTGTCTCAAAAATCCCCACAAAAGACACACAGATTCCAACAACAGATGAAAAATGATGATGTCATTAGTAATCACACAAATGCAAATTACATATACAAACACAAGGCTGGGCAGTGACCCAGCCATAATCCCAGCACTCAGGAGGCTGAGGCAGGAGATACTGGACCACAGAGTGAGGCTGTCTCAGAGACACAAAGACAACAAAGAAAGTACAGATAAAATTATGCACCCAAGAGAATTGCTAAAATAACCGACTGTATTTGAAACAAACCGTGGCAAGAAGTCACAGCACTGGTAGGAACATTAAACATGAACTGCCTTAAATATGAAGCGGATATTGCTGCTGTTCCCATGTTTGAAGATAAAACAAAAGACCTCTCTTCCACAGCAATAATTTCAAAGATTAGGGTGCAATACACACTTACTGAAGTTAATTAAATGGTGTGAAGGGTTACAGTGGTAAACACATAATTCATACTGCTGAGCCCCCTTCAACTGTCCATACCTAACTAAAGTGCCAAGGCAGTGGCTGTCACTGCAGGCTAGATAAGAGTCATTAGTCAGTGTCAGGCAGATATAAATAACCAATGCTGCTAGGAGTGTGTACGGCAAGCTCTTGCTGTATATAGAGAAAAAGCTTGAGCAAGCTTGTGTAAACAACCTGAGCAAGCTCACTGTGTATAAACAACCGAAGCAAGCTCACTGTATGTGTGAATATCAAGCAAGTGCACTGTGTGTGTAAACAGCCTGATCACAATCATATTTTCAAATATAAACATGAAACAGATCAGAATTTTTTAATACAAAATTTTTGTGCAAGCTGTGTAAAAAAGCACGTATTATTTTCAGATGCAAAGAAACACCACACATTAATAGGAAGTCTTCTGCAACTAAACCCTCCATCCTGGAGACAGGCCCCCCATCAAGCTGGAGCACCCCCAAATTCTGAAGTGGGCCATTTCTTTACAATTATTTTTAGAACTAGTCTGCAAATAAAACAAACAAAAACCTAGTGAGTTTTGCTCCAATCCCAAAGGATTCTGGCTGAATTCTTATTTCAGACATGCTCTTAATTGGAGAAATTCTTTATTCACATCTTTTTTTTCCCCCTTGTTATTTTCCTTTTCTTTTTATTTCTTTTTTCTTTTAAAATTGGAGACAGAGTCTCACTGTACAGCCCTGACTGGCCTGGAACTCTCTATGTAGACCACGCTAGCTTTGAACTCAAGAGATCTACCTGCCTCTGTCTCCCTAGTGTAAACTATGGGGTCCAGCCATCTATCTGCCTGCTTTCTAGGTATTCAGTCTACTTCACAGGGAGTGAATCTAGTTTACCAAACAACACTGGCCATTGTTGAAGATAAAAGCACAGACACAGATATACGCACACATAAACCATCTAGGAAGAATAACTGCATGGCTATACTTACAACGTGTTACATGAGTGTATGGTAGTGCACACCTATAATGTCAGCATTCAAGAGGAGGCA